TTTACGAACATCCATGCCTTCTCTGGGATTCGAACCCGGCCCCTTCGGCACTGCACTTCCTTATTCTAGCCTGCTAACCTTTATATGTACTTAAAAATATATGTATTATTTTGACAAGCCTTAACTGCAGCTAACCCCCTTTTCACGGGCAGTTAACTTCTTTATTCTAACCTGTTATATATATATATTTACATATATACGTATTTTTTGATAGGAGTAAAGTATATTATAATGGAACTTGCATGTTGATTTAGAAAGGGAATTCATTGATCATGTTGAAATTTTGTATATAGATTGCTATAAAATGTAGTTCTGCACCTCCTATTTTGGTTGCAATCAGCCACACAAAAGTATATAAATATATATATAGATCCATTCTGTTACTCGTATCAGTGTTTTTATTCTTATACGTTGATAAATACTGGTCATTTAAGGTTTTTATGCCTTTCGTTAATCTGCATGCAACAGTTGTAGATTTATCCACAATTTAAAAATTGTTAAGTGCGGCTAAGCCTATTTTTTGTTTTACCATAGCAGCCATATTTGTTTACATTTGAAACTTAGCAGAATAGTGAATTAAGTCTTTCTGAATCTCCAGTGTCTTTTTGCCAAGTGGAACCAAAAGGAAACTTATAGTTTTGTGCACCGAAAAATCTGCCTGCAGGCTGACTTGCTTGTTTTTGCATAGAAATTGAAATTTTAATTCTAAAAATTGTTTTTTAAGTGTCTTAACTGTATTTGGTGTTTTATATTTTTCAATTTTTAATGAAGATATTGTGAAGTTTATGTATTTTTGCCTTGCCGTGAAGTGAGAACTGAAGTAATTGAATGAGAAATCTATCGCTAAGGAAATTAGAGGAAATAAATTTAAATTAAATACGCAGGAAAAAACATTTATACTTTAATATTCCATAACAAGGAAGTAATGTCGCGTACACATCAGATTTTTTTTTTTTTTTTTTTAAATTTTTGGAAATTATTGTTGTCATTTGTATACAGTGTATTGCGAATTGGTAGAGAAACTGCCATTTCTTCAGTACAAAAGAAGAGTGGCACAAGGACATTACAATGTCATCTACTATTCTCAAGTAATGAGGAAGACCAAGTTCCTTCACTGAATCCTCTGACATGGTATATTGCACAGAAATGCAGGGGTAGCAGGTTTTTATTATCTCACAATATCAGAAAACAAAATAAAGAAGCACACTGACTAGTTTTTGCTAAATCCCAAGGCAATGTCAATTATGTTCATAAAAAAATTTAATGAAAGCCATATTTTCAATGTTTCTAGTGCAAAATTTTCATCTACGCAAATGGAAAAAGAATTATTTTTATGATTTCTACAATGAATGGCATTTTTGAAAAAAGGATTATTCTGCTCTACGGGATATGTTTCTAATTAATTGATTCTGCAAGTTATTTTTTTTTCTCTTTTTATTTAGCCTATTTATTACTAGCACCACTTCATATGGATAGAATTATTCCTGTATGTCCCAGTTTTAACTTTTTTTTTTTTTTTTAAAGCAATGGAAAAGTTATAACATTTTGGAAATTTAATATGAGATGTTTCTCATGCATAAAGAAATAAAATAAAAAGTTTCAAACCTTTAAAATAGAGTAATATAGTACATAAAGAGACTTTTAAATTGCACTTTTAAGTTATCTGTAACTGCAGAATTTATCCATTCACTTCATTTTAGCTAAACGCACACCAGCAGCAATACCTAAATTTATATCTGCAACATTACAATAAATGGTTTATCCAGAATGTACATTTTTATCAATTTTTCAGGATTTTTTTGCTTTCTGCAGTAAATCCCTTTTGACAAATTTTGAGGGAAGCTGATTTAGCACATTATGGAAAGTTGTACACAGAAAGGAGCCCATAGGATCCACTGTCTGAAATGATTTTAGAAATGGATGTAAATTAACAATAAAAAAAATGAGATTTTGCCAAAAGTAAGCTTATCTTTAACAGCTTCTCTCAGTCTTTTGAATGACACAGTTTTTGGTAGTTCGATTCTACATATTTTTTGACATGATGAAAAATATCAATAGCTCTCTCAGCAACAGGTATGTTTTCACACCATTTTACTTCACAAAACTTCAACGGAAAAGTTGTACAGTTAGTGATGGCAATATAGTCTGCTTGCCAAGCAAGACTCTTTACATACTCTATGCATATTTTTAAATAATGCACTTAAATTCCAGTCAGTACCTTTATTTATGGCCAGCTCTAAAGGCACCATGAACAACATGCAAACCACAGGACCCAATATGTAATACATGGCAGGCAATCATTATGCTAAATTTTCTTTCAAATCTCTGAGGAATTTAAGATTGACATTTGGTCCATCCAATGATACTTGCAGCAATTTCTTTTTATCTAGCTCTGAGGTTCCCTCAAAGAAACTTCTCAGAAGGTCATTGGCAGATACATGTCCCCCCCAAAAAAAGATGTTGTGGTATCTTCATTCCTCGCACTGTCCCAAAATCTAACAAAAAGATCCATTTTGCCTCTCTGGACAATTCTATTTAATGCTTCATTGAAGCATATTACAAATTCAGTGTTTAAGAAATGAGCATCTTTTTGAAGTATGGAGCTAAAAATGACAATAAATATGACATTTTTGTATATTCCAGAGTAATCAAACTTTTTCTGAAACAGAACAGCAGTATCATTAAATGCATTAAAAGAAACATGTGAACAAACAAGTTTCATAGCCCACAGGTTGTCCTCAGTAAAGAAGTTCAAATTTCATAAGTTAAACTTCACAGTAATGATTTTCTTATGCTTTGCACTGTTTATGTGGCTTGTGATTGCTTTCCTTCCCATGGTACTAAGCATGATATTTTGGGGGCAAAACGTGCATATTGCTTTGTTAGGAGCTCTTTCAATAAGTTGCAACCATGTACTTCACTCAGAAATGAGATTACAATGTGCCCAATCTCGATTAAAAAATGTCTTTTTGCAAGACATTTTACAGCCAAAGGAATGAAGGAAATCTATTTAAGAATACTTTAAAATTCAAATATTTTATATTTATTTAGCAGCATATATAGGTAAAAATATATGCACTAAAGTCCTAATAGAATTAGTTTCATGAATATGCCAGAGAAAATTACCTGAAATTTGGAAGTATTATTAACTAATAATAAATAAATTTAGACAGAAGAAACCACATCAAATGATACGAAAAATATTAAAATAGCAAAGTTCTTTACTTAAACACTAAAAAAGAATAAAAGTTTAATTACAATAATCAACAATATTTTAGTGAAAATAGCTATATTAAACTGTTAGCCTAGATGATTGTTTATTAATTTTTTAAATTGTTACTGTGTGATGATTTCACAAAATTAACTAAAAAGAAAAAAGTTTGTACGAGAATGGGTTAGGGGGAAAGCTGAGCAAAATCAGAAAGTTCAATGAGGGCGAAAGACTGATTACTTATTTTTACAACACAAAGAGTGTAAAAAAAAGGGGGTGCAAACATTATTATATTTAAAGCATTTGTTTCTGAATTTCTGATGCTCTTTGTTTCTTGAAAATAAAATTTCAAATGAAGATTATTTAAAAATCAAGTTCAGAACAAATAAATGTTTTTGTATTTACCAAACAAAGTACCACATTTTTGAGTAATTTCAAAGCGCAATAATCATGATAAATTCCCGCTGCCAATGATGTTGAAAAGCTTAAGATTTTTTTTTAATAATGCATAAAAATATTATTTAAAAAGTATCAAGAGATTTTTTTTTAACTTTAAAAATGCATTGCATGAATTATCATTTTAACAAGCAAAATATTAAATAAATATACATTTAAAAAATATTTAATAATGTGAAAAAGGTTACAAAGTTTTGATTACATTTTTTTAAATGGAGATGACAACAGAAAAATAAGCTCTTTAAACCAAGAGGCAGAGTTTTTTTTTTTTTTTTTTTTTTCCATTAAACATATACAGATTTTTTTCATTACACATACACAGATTTATTGTTCTTTGCAAAAGCATGCAAGTCAAGCTCTCTGGATTCTGGAGGTTACTGCAAACTTGCTTTGACTTTCTGAAAGACGATTTGATTGGCATTGCTCTATGCCAGCTGCCGGAAGGATGCTCATGTGATACACAATTTGCCATGAAAGTGATCTGCTTTCTACATTGGGTCAAAAATCACTTTTTAGGGCATGACCATAAGGAATTCCCTAACTTTTCCAGATTTGTGCTAAACTATTTAAATTCCCTGACTTTTTCCTTTTTTTTTTTTTTTTTTTTTAATCAATTTTCGAATTCTCTGACTTTTTTCAGTTTTCCAGATGGTGTGCCAACTCTGTTTCTTATAATACAACAGTACAGGCAACATGTAAAGTAACAAGAAGCATGGACATAATAATATGTTCCAGAAAGATACAAATAACTTGTTTGTATTATGAAGTGTGTTGAAATTTTCCTTTTAATATCAAGTGACCAATAAAGATAATATTTACTTAATTTGAGTGGTCTTTTAATATGACAAAATTATTTTTTTATATTTTAAATGTGCAAAAAAGCTACAGGAATGATCAGATTGTTTATTACAGAAATAGATTTTATCTAAAAATATTTCAATATAAAAAATATAAAAGTAAATGAAAATTAATAATTTTTAACTTAATTTGTAATGAAATTTAATTTCTTGAATAGATATTGGCAAAGCTCCAGCTTATGATACAAGGTGTATATTACTTACACATATTTAAAACATTTTTTGTATGTCATTGCATTATTTTCAAATAAGACTAAACTACACTGCCATAGAAAAACTATACTTACATTAGATACTAATATATTTTAAAGTAACTTTTCATTATAAAAATCCAATAAAATAAACCATTTTTTTTTTTTAAATTTCTGTATCATTGAGAAGAATTTCCTTAATTACTTTAAAGATTAAATAAAATGTTTAAGGCAAAAGGTCAAAGGTTTTCTTTTGGGTACTATAATAATGTCAAACGCAATACACAAATAAAAATTTCAGACTTTATTTCAAGTAACAAAAATGAGTTTCCAGAAAATCCTGGAGATCACAATGAAAAGTTGTTAAGTTACAAAGTAATTTACAGCTGAACAATGGGCTGTAAGTTTTGGAACATGTGACATTAACAGATGTATCTTGTATAGATTACTTGGCAGTTAAGCACTTTTTATAAAATCATAAAAAGTGCTTTGTAAGGCATTATATCATTTATTTATATGGAAAAGAAAACAGCTGAACATACTCATAACAAAAACATTCCCAAGTTTACTCCTAATGCAATTAATTTTTAAACTTATAAGAAGAAAATATTTTTTCCTTTTCATAAAAATCTCATACAATTAATTGCGTAACAAATATCAGAATACTTAGACTGTGGGAAAATCACATATAGACCATAACCAATAAGCCCATACAGTAGTCTACTTAACAGTTTTCATCTGCCACAAGCCATCATTTAAATAATGAATATTTTCAACTCCAACTCCTTTATTCACTTTTAAACTGGGGAAAAAAAAATAAACATTAAAATCACAAAATAAAATTATATAAAATTAGACTCACTTAACAACAAAATATTAAGATATAAAAAAAGCTGAACAGATTTTTTATATCTTAATTTTAATGTTTATAATTAAAATTTTGTTATAATTAAAATTATAACAAATAATTTTTATGTATTAATTTTATTTAATTACAAAGTTTTTAACCTAGTACTTGATGTGCCCATATATTCAGAAAAATGCATGCTACACTAGATATTTCCAATACCAAGCAATTTAAATTTTTTCAACCAGGAATTCTTTTGAGTTCCTTACCTCTTCAAACTATTCAATTTCTTTTAAACTATTTCACAAAAGATTGTAACCAAATGTTTAAAAAGATGCTGAAATTTTTTAAATCACTATTTTAAATACTGAACAGAATATAATGATAAATTTTCTTTAAACTTGTTGTTTGAAATATACATTAAAAATGTTACTTCAAAGTTACTTATTAAATTACTTAACCCTTTTAAGATAATGTACTGGAGATATGTAAAGTTCAGATACTCACATTCGATCAAATCCCAGATGTCATTACATATAAAAGGTTTCTTTAAGGTTCTGTATCATGCTTCAGAAATGATGTCAGCTGTATGTCTGACATATATTTTATTTTCAGCAGTATGTTGAGAAATAATTTTGAACTTTTTATGCTAACATTTCATTTTAATACATTAAGGTTTGATAGATGAAAAATTCGATCAAGCTGTGTTCAACTAAAGATTTCTTGATGCTATTTTGTGAATTTTTAATCGCTAAAATCCAATAGTTACACAAACAGACAGACAAAATGCTAAAATTCCAATGTATCTCAATGTATGTATGTGGGGAGAAGGGAAACATTACCACATAAAATATAAACAAACATTATAAAGACTTCAAATAAAATACTAACCAAATACTAGACACAACAAACTAATGAAATGAATTAGTTTTAAAATTATCATTCTACATAAATTTAAAAACTATGTTCCATCAATATTTTTTCTAATCTTTCAGCTGAAATAAAAACTTGCAATAATGTTGGAAGATGATAAACACAACATGAAAGAATTTAAAATTAGTGCAAACATTTCTTTCTCCTGAATAAGGAGGATCTAAGTCTGATTACCCTCAAAACTGAAAATTTTATTCAAGAACTGCATTAATCTAAGGTTGCCTTCTTATCTTATTTTTAATGTTTTACAGCTTAAAAATTGTATAAAATAGGGAAAGGATTATAAAATTGGATTACATGCAAATAAATTTTTGAATAATTAAAACTATAATGTACAGAATTATATATAATTTTATTTTTATATGCGTAAAGAATTCATATGAATTAACATTTTATAAATATATGAAAATACAGTTGCTAATTACACTTTTTTTTCAAACTATTTTGTAAAAAAGACTAACACAGCCACAGACTACTATTTTGAAAAGAGTTATAGCAACTTCTAAGTCAACATGCAAGTTACCATTATAATTTTTTTAAGTATATATAACAGGCTAGAATAAGGAGGTTAACTGCCTAGGAAAAGGAAGTTAACTGTTGACAGGAGGTTAACTGCCCACAGGAGATACGTAAATCAAAATTGAAAATAAATACAAAACAATTGAATAAAATAATATAATAAAAAATACTGCATAATTCAATAAAGTAATATAATAAAAATAATATAACATACTGTTGAAAATTCTTTAATTTTTTTCAAGCAACAGCTGAAGAATTTTCAACAAAGCCAAGCTTCTGAATTATATCTGGATGATTAAAAATTCTTGAAATAATCCAAAATGAAGTGTCAAATGAAAATTTAAAAAATATTTTAAAATAACTTTCCAGTTACTTTTGCAATTAAAAATTTTAAAATTAACTGCTTTGGTTTTACAAATTTGTGCAGAACTCTTCCAATTAAAAGAAATTTACAACAATCTTCTACTACTACTACTACCAAATTTATTTCTCAAAATGCTTTCAATCTTAACAACAGATAAACGAAAAATTTTCCTCAATTGGCACATTATTTCACAATTATATTAAATTTTATAACACCATTTTTAAACAATTAAATGGTATCCCTATGGGCATGAATTTCTTAATATAACTTTCAAACCTCTACTTATTTACCAAACAATTTCAATTTCAAAAATCACTCGACAATACAAATTTAAAACAATTTCAGTTTCAAAAATCACTCGACAATACAAATTTAAAACTATTTGCATAATACATATATGTACATAGATGATATAATTACTGTCAATAATTTTGGGTAAATAGAAATATTCCAAATATAACCCTTCTTGTTTAAAATTAAGACCAATGAAAGTCAATAAAAAATAGATTATCTTGATCTCCAAATAATTAACTACATTAAAATTAAGCATTTTAAACAAAATTAAACAAAAAATTTTAAATTCAAAACAATAAAACTTATTAACTGACAGACTAACTTCTCAAAACAAGTTACACAACACTTAATCAAATAAAGAGAATAAAAAATATTTGTACAGACTATTTAAAAGATTAAATAATTTTACACAAGTATTTATAAAAATAAAACTTTTTCACAATTTATTAATTTTTTCTTTAAAAAGCTGGCATTAAATATCAAATTTAATCTTTAAACTAACAAGTTATGATAAGCTTATATGAAACCAAAAGGAAGGTCAGAAAGGATGTTTTGTTAGAAGAACAGATTTGTATATTTTGTATTTAAATTACAAATTTCACTGATTATATGCTGGCATCTATCCTTTTAGCAACAGGCAAATTTCTTTTAAGTCTTAAAAGCAGCCATTGTAAGTGAAAACTTTTGGCTGTACATCTCCCTATTTTCTTTTTCCTTGACTTTCCAGAAATAATTATAAAAGTTCATAATGATCATGTCGATAAAAATAAAATTTTTATTGTTCAAGATTTATTAATTTAGTTCTGGTTTTGCTTTTATTTCAAACATGAAATGTGTAGTTGTTGAGAAGCTCCTTATCACACCTGTATATTTGACAAAATATAAGGAAATAATTAGCCAATGTACCATTTTTCAATTATTTCTTACTTTTTATACACTTTTTTTTAATACAATTGTAATAAGAAATTCTGTGACCTTTTTTTAGTGTTTTTTTTTTTTTTTTAAATATTGAAATGGAAAATAATACCAGTATTAAAATAAAATGTATTTAATAGATAAATCTGACTTTCCCCCATGAAAGCTTTTTATTTTTTATATCCTAAATTCTCAAATGACAATATTTTCCCCATGCAAATAAATAAATAAATAAATAAAAAAGAACAATAAGCAGTACATAACTTTAAAGGAAGAAATATTTAACAGTCTTACATGTCATCAGTAGACATAGACGTCAGTCCTACTGCTAATGCATGCTCTTTTCCTTCTGCCATTATTGCCTAACAAATTCGTTAAGTTAAAAGAAAAATTATAAACATTCAGTAAGAGTTAATAGTTCTGTTCAGTTATTGGTTACTGTGAAGAAAAACAAATATGCTTTTTATAATAAAAACTACATTTTATAGGTTAAAGAACTGAAAATTGGTTAAATGAGTTATAAGTATAAAATTCTTAATGATGAACATTATGAACTAAGATAAATTTAAGATAATTAACAGAAAAAGAAGCTGTCTTCAGAGTGTAAATAGTGTTTCCAAATTAAGAAGTAAAAAAAGGGGGGAGATAAGATCTAAACATAGTAAAATTTATATCTAATTTATACTATTTAAAATACATCTCAAAGAAGATCTTATTTCTAATCAATAAACATTTCATTATATTTAATGATTTTAGTTTAAAACTGCACTAAAATTAATATTTTACAAATAAAAAGTTTTTATTCTGGAATGTTTTAATAAAAAGTCTACACTGGTTATATTAGAAGAAATAATAAAATATATATTTTAAAATGTTTCTTCTAAGAAATGATAAAATATATTGAAAAATATTTTCTCGATATCTGGGTAATTGCTTTCTTTTTCCTGATTCTAATTTAAAATGTATTTTGAACTTTATTGTATATGTTTTAGCTTTTTATTGTAAGGAGCTTAATATTACTGATATTAACCAATCAAAACATTTCTCATAAGTCGGTAGTTGCATGCTCGTCACAGAAGCTAGCCACTGAAAATTTTAAGGAAACTATTAAGTTACCACAAATGAAGTTTCTTCATAGACATCGTGCATTTTGTAATGTATTTTGGCTGTAAATTATCTGTTAGTTTGGGGGGGGGACTTATAACTGAATGAAACTTGCAACTGGTGGGAGCACTATTTCAATCAGACATCTTTATACAAACATGAATGAGTTAAATGTAGAGCTGCTCATATAAATGGGACAGCATAGGAATAAAATTCCTTTCTTCATTCCAACTTTTATAACTCCTTGGAACTTATTAAAATTTACCTTTGTAATTTCTGTAGTTTATCATTATTTTTTCATCAAATTCCTAATTATGCTCTAATAAAATTATAAGTTTTAACTTCCGTGCCATTAAACAGCAGCATGGAAAGGTAGGGAAAGAGAGGAAAGACAAAAAAGAAATTGTCTCAATGATGGAATAAACTCAAACATGGAATGGTATGCTACAGAGCAGCAACTACTAGGTGATAGTCCTCTTTAACGGCTGGTTCAAAAATCATAGTGAAATATTACTTAGGAAAGCAAAACCTGTGCTTTAAAGTTCTCCAAATTCTTGATAATGGTTGAGGCTACGATACTGAAGCCTTCACAACATTGCATCCAAATGTAGAGCTCTTATTTCTTCAAACGAACTCCACTTCCATCCAACCAATAGATCAAAGAATTGAAAATATTTGAAGCTTATTATGCCAGGCATGTTTACATCTCTAATAAAGCCTAGACAAAAGAAAGCATTGCATTTCAGATATAACGGCATTCTGGAAGCAATTCAACATAAGACACTGCATAGATAGGATTAAACTTACATACAAACAAGTGAATTTATCAACAGCGAATGAATGCTCACTCACATCACCGCTGGGCAGAAGTTGTCAACAATTTTAAGGCATTTCCATCGACTGAAAATGAAGCCTAGGAAATCATAAATTGCAAAAACAAGAGATTTTCAGGCATGGGCGAAAAAGGAGAAGCAGCAAAAGATTTTCAGGCATGGGCGAAAAAGGAGAAGCAGCAAAAGATTTTCAGACATGGATGGGGAAGAAATTAAAGAGTTAGTCAGGAATGACGAGAGGAAAAGAAATTAAAGAATTAATCAAGAATGACGATTGTAAAAAGACAAATAAAGAACTTGATGATCTTATACTACCAGCTGACAATGAAAGCAGGATAGTGAAGGTAAAGAGCCTTCAATGTTCATAAAGTTAACTAGAATAGCTGAAAAAGCACAGGAACTGTCTGATTTTGAAATCGAAATAGACCCAAATGAAAAAAATCCTTATCGCAAAACATTTAATAAGTTGTGTCAGAAGTGTTAAGTTGTGTAACTCCCACACTCAGCAAACATTTACTGCAATAAATTTACATGCATCAAGCTCATGCATATATTCACCATGTTAGCTTTTTGCAGAATACACTTCAACTCATCTGGGTATTGAACTCACATACATATGATAATTATCTCCTGAAATGTTACTCTATTATAAAGGGCATTCAGCTTACTGTTCCTTGCAACTTGTGTTTTTCAAACTGACAAAGATCCTTGCAAGGATAGAGGAATGAATTTGAAACTCAGTTCAAAGCTTGGATTCTATATTGGAAAAGTAAAACAATGCTACAAGGCACATACAGCATACAGTTAGACAAGATCTTGGTACAAGTGTGGACGGAAGCTTCCAGTGGATGAAGTTCCCAGCCTGGTTCAGATCTCAGAAAAGACATAGATGCTTGTAAACATACAATATTTGCTTGGCAAGGGGGCACTTAAAATACAGAGCGAGCTGGAATTCTAACAAGAGTCGATGGTAGGAGAAGAGGAGTGGAAGACCCTCAGACCACCCCCTAGGATATTTTCTCTTAGAATATCAAATTGGGGGTAGAAGCTTAACAGTTAGCTAGGTACAGCAATACCTCAATCACTTACAGTACTACAAAGGTGCTGGCCTAGCTTCTATCTGTTTCTGTAAAGAATTGAGATGACTCATTAGACCAAATTAGCCTCGCCATTCAGTTTTTTTTTTTTTTTTTTTATCTAGGATTAATGATCTTTGGCTTTTACAATGGATGTTTTTCATTGAATTGGGAGTCAAGATACATTTTTATCTCAACTCTTTTACATGATGTAATGTGTAATCATATAGCCTTTCATCACTAGCCACAGATTCAGTATACAGGTTGCTGCTGTAGGCATTTACTTCACACACTTGCAGCTCCCTTACTAATAAAGAATACCGACAAGAAATGTTAAAGCAAATCTTCCCTGGAAGCAGTGAATGAAAGTAAGTTGTTGCTACACCCAAGCAAAAGAAAATCAGTATTTCTCATAGTATCTCAGACAATGTTCTGATAGTTTAAATTCAATTCCCAAGCAATTTACTGTGCATCTCTTCTATTTAGGCCATTCTGGAGAATCTTCTCGTGTATATGCACTTTTAGACTCTTATTTTTCCATTTGCAGGCAATTAGCAATGGAAAAAAAGCACCCAATTTTATTTAATTTAGACTGCACCTTCATTACTACAAAAGAGATAAATTAGTGAAAATATGTAAACAGATAAATATTAACTGCTGCATGCACTTTCAAATTCTATAAAATATAAATCCTTTTTCTTATGAATAAATATTAAAAAGATTCAATAATCTCTCACATAAACACATGCAAATATTATATTAGTTTCAAATAAATTCTTTCATTCATCTACTGGAATAATAATTCTTTATAGGGAAGGAAAGGGAAGGGAACTATCGATTATTCTGTAATGTATGTCGCACTTTTAGCACAATCTGCTTTTTGCTACTCTTAGTGAGCTATTTGTGATAATTTTTTTACATAATTATTCCTTAGATTATTATTTCTATGAATTGTGATACTAAAGAATTAACTAGAATCACATTCCAACGAACAACAGGAAATATTACAAATGATAGCAAATTATACAATGAATACAAAAAAAGATACTACTACTGTTCCTTTGGGTACAGCAGTCATTTTAGCACCAGGAGATGTCAACCCAGGACACATAATATTAGCACCACTCAAAACAAACCGAATTGCACCTCTGTCAACTTGTTCCCAAGGGCAAATAAAAGGATCTATGTAAATGGATATAAAATATATGTTATATACCAATTTATAATTCTACATTATAAAATAAACTTATAAAGTACCCAATTAAAATTTATATTACATTTATTTTTGACAGATTTCTTAAAATCTTTACATATAACTAAGCAGATACTCATTTTTTATCACTTATCTGTTACATTGCCATTAATACAGAGACAAACAGAACATTTTTTAAGAAATACAAATTTTTTAACTTACCCAGAGAATTGAATAGCATTTTTTTTCTTTCTATGCTATAATACACTGATAAATTCATCAACAAACAGGGTTTTTGAATAACACAAACCATATAAACTACCATAACTGCATCATGAATCATTATATATAATTAAAAAGACTTAGAGCTTCAAACATAAAATATTTAAAGATACAATCTTTGTGCAAACCAGTATGCCGATGCTTCTATAAAAATCACTTATTAACATGAACTGTAAATTGGTAATAACATTAAATATATATTTATTTTACTTGCATTTTAGCAGAAAAAAAAAGCACCTTTTTGTTCTCAATAACCAGGTATTTCCTTTTCTTTTCTTAATTCAACACATTATTGAAGTAGTTCAGAGAAAAACATTACAATATGAAAGCACTCCAATAATCAGTATCAGTGCTTATAGAATTAACTATTATATCTCTTGGGTCCAAACAAATAAAAGAGGCATTATTCTTAAGAAATTAAAACAAGATTAATTGTTAGGTGTTCGGTGGAGTTGGAAATCATATAAAGTTGTTTTTGTACTTTTTAGCCAAAAAAGGACTATTAGCTTTGAATTTTTTTTTGAGGGGGGGGTGTTCACTGTAAATGCTGAATCACTTTTCAAATTGTTGTCACCAAATATTATCGCCCTATATTACTTTTCAAGAAATTAAATAATAATTAATCTGCATGTATATCTTACATAAGCACCCAAAAAAAAAATCTTAAAGGCCTTACATTACGCCATAAAGGGCTTTTTTTTTTAACGTTTTCTGTGTTCCCTCTATTTATTAAATATCATGTTCTTCACACTTAAACCATAAAATTCAATTCAACAGCAATATCACAAAATATTTAAAAGAGCATATCTTTAGAATTTCCGATACAGTGTCTCGCATGCTGGAGATAAAATTTTTTTCCGTACAGTGTTGCCACTGTTCGCTTTGAAATCATCGAATTTGTTAATAAAAAATTCTTTATGTTTGACAAATATGAAATAGATAATAAAACAAATCACAAATTTGGGCTTCCAGATACCCATATTCAAATAGAGGACTACGTTATTCAAAATTTGATGGCTCTAGCTACCATTGTTTTATCACAATGTGAGACACATGCATGCATTTATGGAGATTCTTTATTATTTAATTTCTTTAAATAAAACACAATGCGATAATATTTGGTGGCAACAATTTGAAAAGTGAACCAACATTATTTATAGTGAATCAATGCAAAATGCCAAAAATAATCAATGGCCCTTTGGAAGTTATTGGGCAAATTACCCATTTGGGCAAATTTAAATGTAAATGCAGATTAGATGGCATAATAAGAAATTTCTATAAAATTCTTATTATAACAGGTATTTGCAGCATTTTTTCCTCCACGGATTGCTTTATTACTGGCTTGATTTCAATGGTTTCATGATGTTTTCCATGCACCTGAGTAAAAGCCAGTTCAAATGTTGCTAGCCCATTGTGGTACAAAGCATATTTTTTATCAGTTTCAGTCTTGAAAATGAACTGTAGAGTAGGTCACCATGATGCAAATACACACCTTGAGTGCAATTTCAATATTCCATAAAACATATTTCAGACTGTCTGAAATTATTTTTCTGTAGATTGAAGAGAAAGTCTTATAATTTTTATCAAAAACAATGCAGTGCTCGAGATGCTCACTTCATTTAAAAAACCATCAAAATTCAAAATTCTGTGATATATATTAGACAGGTGTTCAAACTTTTTTTTTAGTAGATCAAAAGAAATGGCTTTCAATTCAGTAAAAGAAGAAAATAAATTTCCAATTTGTGAATAAACATTCGTATGTTTTGCCAGTTCAAGAATTGAAGCATCGAGAAGAGAAATAAGGAAGTAAAGTCCATAATAGAATAAAAAATTAATTCAGAAATTTTCCTACAGTTATTTATGACAGTCGAAAGCAAAACTACTACACACATTTTTTCAAGCAGCTGTCATTGTAAACAAAATCTTAAAAAAAGTTATATAGTGCTAGCCCCAAGCCCTGACCGACCAGCTTGGAAATGCAGTAGCCTGAGGATTAGATTAGCCCTTTCGTATCAACTATCCCGCAAATGTGTCAGCATGAAACACACTCATTTCCTATCTGGCAGGCTGCTGTGACAAGAGCATTTTCTCATTAATCCTCACCTGTCATACATATATTCATGTCAGATTTTGGAACGTTTTAGAAACTAATATGTTTGGCATAAGATGGCATTATACGTCCATAGGATTTGAGATAAATGTAGATTTGACCTTATCCTCGACATGACACAAAGACTACTCACATGCATTTGGATTTTGATTATATAAACATAAGGAGAAAGGCATGACTAGCAAGCTTTCTGATGGCTCTTAAAATGTGCCCATGGTATTATTTACTGATGAACGTCATGGAAGTTTTTCATTATTTAGCTGCAGCATTAGGTGTTTGATTTTGCAGTCCAGTTTGCAATTGAGAAATATACCCTATGTATATTTCTCAAATATATACCCTATGTTTTTGTTTTGAATGTTACAGTGGCAAAGATTAAAAATTTTTAACAAATTATATGAATCTAAATCAGGTTATATCTGTAATTTTATCATTTATATGGGAAAAGAAACTTCACGGTTATACAGGAAAAGAGTTGTTCAATCTCTACTTCAAGAACTTTCTGGTTAAGGGATACCGTATAAAATAAGTACATTGATCATTTTTTCATGCCTCCATCATTTTTAAACTTGGAACAAATACTTGTGGGGCTGAAAAGTGGAAAAAGAAAGGAATGACGAAAAATTTTTCACTACCCAAAATGAAAATTGGGGAGATAATAAAGAAAAAGAACCTAACTCTTAACTGATAGACAGGAAGTGCTTTGTTAAAATGAAAGTTCTAAGAAAGTGCAATAGCGATGCTTCATTTGTTCACACTCCAGCAAAAATTCTCCAAAAAGGCAAATGCGCTACCCTGAACCAGGAAATATAAAATACGACAAATACACATTAATTAGAATATCAATGTAGTCTTAACAAAAACAATATGTATATGAAGGAAGTACAACATATTTTATTAGCTGATATGTTTATGAGAGCAAGGTATAAGAAAAGGCGAGTTTTCAACATTTTATACTGAATCATAAATACAATTTTGTAGATCCAACATCTGGCACAAAGACACCGAATTTGAACGAACCAGGGATGTGATTAAGTGGATTCATATTTAAGAGTATTAATTATATTTAAATTCATATTTACATGATTAATATGCCAAGTAAACTATTCTCAGCACAAACCAAAAAAAGTGCACCAAGATAGATTTTTAAATTTCTCGGCAAGTTTCTCACTAAATTTTAGAAAAGAAAACTTAAGTACAGTACAAAGTCTTTAATCTGGATGTCTAAAATCCGGAATGATCTATAATCCGGACCTCAAACCTACAAACTTTATGCGCATGCGTAAAGATATGCGTTTACACATGCACATAATACATTTACGCTTGCGCATATAACGGACCGTATAAGATAGGCTAAAATTATCTATTTCAATTAATGTTGCAGATTGCGTTGCTCCTTAATCTTCTAATTTGATCCAGCTTATTATATTTTGAAGACTGTTAGAGCAATTTTATAAAAAGTAAGCTTGAACTTTCGATTATGTCAAAAAGAGTTTCCAATTCTGGAGCTGCCGAAAGATCTACAAAGCGAAAGAATGTTTCGATGTCCATCAAACAAAAAGTGGAATTGTTGCAAAAAATGGATAAAGGCATATCCTTTGTTTCTCTAACCATTCCGAAATCTGTTTATCAATTTTACGCTGCTCTGCCGGGGGGGGGGGGGGGAGTCACAGCGCGCAATGAACTGGAAGTTGATCTGTCAGCACTATCCTCATCTTCAGGGCAGAATTTTTTATTTTATTCGGCTTATAATTCCTTACTAAATGTAGTATTTCATCTCGATGTACTTCGTCTTTGAAATGATTTAAATCAAATCCCTCGTTATTATAAATATTGTGAATACACTTCAAATAGTTTTCCGGTCACAATTTTCTAATTTCGACTATGCGTAATGTATGCTTTACGCATGCATGCATTGAAAGAAATGTTTAATAAAGTAAACAAATATTAAGCTTCTTCTTCTTCTTTTTTTTTTTTTTTTAATTTTGATACTACTTTAGATCATAATTGATCTTTATTTCATAAATTACGGTTTCATATTTTTAATTTTATAATTTCTCCATGCCATCTTACCAGACTTAAATTGATGATCTATAAATCCGGAAAAAACCCTAATCCAGAATCGCTGAAGTCTTGACGAGTCCAGATTAAAGACTTTGTACTGAATAATTTCAGTTGTAGAATAAAATATGGGGGAAAAAATTTGTACTGTCAAAAGTCGTTAATTCGGACACCCATAATCCGGACCTCAAAGCTAAATCTTTCTGCGCATGCGCCGCGTTGGCACATGCGCACAGGCGTTTTACGTGTGCGCGTAAGACCTTGACTACTGCGCATATGCGTGTGCGCAAGTGCAGAATACGTTTTCGCCTGCGCGTTTAATGTATAACGGACGGTGTAAGCTAAAATTATCTAATTATCTGTTTCAGTTAATGTTAATGATTGCGTTGTTCCTTAATCTTCGAATTGGATCCCGCTTATTATTTTTTGCAGGCTGTAAGAGCAATTTTATAAAAGTAAACTTGAACTTTCGATTATGTCAAATAGAATTTCCGATGCTGGAACTTCCAAAGGATCTACAAAACGAAAGTATGTTTCGATGTCCAACAAACAAAAAGTGGAATTACTGCAAAAAATGGATAAAGACATGAAGAATGTGACAGAGAGGTTAGTGAAAACGAAAAAATTTCGATTGACAAGTTAGTCGGTATTCTCGGCAAAGCAATTAACGAGACTTGAACAGCGGAACTTTGTAACTGAACAAGAAATTATGTCTTTTTATAGAATTAAAGAGAAAGTATTATCACATAAAATGAAGCAACTTAAACAACTTACATTGAGAGAAATGTTTAATAAAGTAAACAAATAAATATTAAGCTTTTTTTTTTTTTTTTTTGTAAATTTTGATACCCTTTAGATCATAATTGTTCTTTATTTCATAAATTACGGTTTCATATTTTTAATTTTAGAATTTCTGCATGCCATCTTACGAGATTTAAACTGATGATCTATAATCCGGAAAAATCGATAATCCGGAATCACCGAAGTCCCGACGAGTCCGGATTAACGACTTTTGACTGTATACCATTTCAGATAAATCAGATTTTGTGTCAAAATAGCTGTTTCATATAAACTGGGTTAATTAAATTTTAAACAGAAAAAGTCCCATAATTTTCCTATTTAAAATCAATAAAGTCCTCCAAAATAAATTGATGCATAGTTGGCAAGGCATTTTTTGGGAAGAAAATGATGTGATAGGGGGGAAAAAACTGGAATAATAATTGCTGAGTGAAATATCAAGGAGAATAAGACATAATTTTGGATCTTGAACTACTGATCTGCTGCATGGCTGACACTGCTGTATGTGGTCGAGCATAATCCTTAAGCAATAGAACGCCATGTCTATTTGCAAGTGCTTAACACACAATGTGTCATGAATTTGCCAGATATCTATACATTATTTTTGTATTGCATTTTATCGCTTTACCTCTGGAAGGAATGAGTAGCAAGCAACACCGGCAGAAGACCACTGTACAGCAAATAATATCTTTTTTGATGTAAAAGGTAATTTTGGGGTTCTTCCTGGAGTGCCTATGACTCCCAATTACTGCAATCAATTTGTACAATTGTCAAAGAACTTAGATGAGAATATGAATCAGAGAACTTTTTATCCACTCATTGCAGAAACCTTTTTTAAGACAGAAGAGCATACTTCCCCATGCCATACTCTGTTTCCATCAGCGAGTTCATGATCCACCTGATGAGTTTCGGCACTTTTCCTGTTACACCAAATGCTGTTAAACAATTGAAAAGTGTGTATTTAGCAGTCAAAAGTCGTTAATCCGGACTCGTCGGGACTTCGGCGATTCCGGATTATAGATCATCAGTTTAAATCTGGTAAGATGGCATGCAGAAATTATAAAATTAAAATATTAAACCTAATTTATGAAATAAAGAACAATTATGATCTAAAGGGTATCAAAATTTACAAAAAAAAAAAAAAAAAAAAAAAAAAAAAAAAAAAAAAAAAAAACTTAATATTTATTCTTTATTTTATTAAACATTTCTTTCAATGTAAGTTGTTTAAGTTGCTTCCTTTTATGTGATAAACTTTCTCTTTATTTATCGGAATTTATAATGACGAGGAATTTGATTTAAATCATATCAAAGACGGAGTACATCGAGATGAAATACTACATTTAATAAGGAATCATAAGCCAAATAAAATAAAAACATCTGCCCTGAAGATAAGCATAGTGCTGACAGATTACCTTTCAATTCATTGCGTGCCGCTGCGTTTCGGCGTCCCCCCCCCCGGGACACAGAGCAGTGTGAAATTGATAAACGGATTTCGGAATGGTTTGAGAAACGAAGGTATGCCTTTATCCATTTTTTGCAGCAATTCCACTTTTGTTTAATGGACTTCTAAACATACTTTCGCTTTGTAGATCCTTTACATATTAGTAAATATATATCGGAAATTCTATTTGACATAATCAAAAGTTCAAGCTTACTTTTATAAAATTGCTCTAACAGTCTGCAAAAAAATAATAAGCCGGATCCAATTCGAAGATTAAGGAACAACGCAATCTGCAACATTAACTGAATTAGATAATTTTAGCTTAGCTTATACCGTCCGTTATACATTAAACGTGCAAGCGTAAACGTATTCCGCGCATGCGCACACGCATATTCGCAGCCGTAAAAGTCTTAAGTTAACGCAACGCATGCGCAGAAAGTTTGCAGCTTTGAGGTGCAGATTATAAATCATTCCGGATTATGGATGTCGGAATTAACGACTTTTGACTGTATTAAGTGATCGCTCATGCAGTTTATCATGGTTCTGATTTGATTAAATCCTTCAATTCATTCAAATCAGTCACTATTTGTTCTTCAACCTCTGATTTCCTAAGCAAAACTGCACAAACCAGTGGTGAATGGATTTCTCATGAGTTGTTTCGCCACTGAATGAATGCTTTATTGATATTTTCACAGCACCCATGGTAGAATTTTCCAATTTGAATTTGTAAAGAATTAACAACCTTAACTAAATAGGTTCCATGACTGACTGAATTCAAAGTTCATTATTTACAGAATAAAACAAATAATACAGTTATATATTTGAATTTTTCATTGAAATTCTATAAATATGATCCGATGTGTTATAACCATACTGATGGAATCAGGGAACTTCGGTGAATAACGATCATTTGAATGGCTTTAACAGCGTTATAACTCAAACATGAGAGTGAAATTTCCTGACTTTTCCAGGTGTGTTTCAAGAAAATTCCAGGCTATCCGCATAGTGCACATTGGCTGTGCTAAGGGTAAATTAACTATGGTATCACTTGAAAACACAAAAACTTGACAATTACATGACTGAAATTCTATAAATATGATCGGATGTGTTATCCCCATACTGATGAAATCAGGGACTTCAGTGAATAGCAGTCAATTTCAATGTTTATAATAAGGTTGCAACTCAAACAGAAGAATGAAATTCCCTGACTTTTCCAGATGTGTTTCAAGAAAATTCCAGACTATCAGCATAGTATGTGCATTAGCTATGCTGAGGGTAAATTAACTATCGCTTGAAACATAAAAATTTGCCGTATTTGCGGTATTGCTTGAAAACATAAAAATTTGCCAATTACATATGACCATACACATATATATAATCCTCAAAGCATTACTTGTATAACTATAATAATGGTATAAAAGTAAGGAGGCTGCTATCACTCTTTTAAGAACTTACTAGTATGGATTCACTCTTTTAAGATAATCCTACTACAATTAAACTTAGGAGATAATATAATCAATTAATCAATATTGTTTAGTAAATAAATTATTATAATAATGGTATGTCATATTACTGCTAGAATTAGTTTCACAAGCATAAGAGAAGATTGCCAGAGGAAACTGCCTAAAATTTGAAAGCATTATTAACTAATAATAAATAAATTTAGAAGGAAGAAGACACATTTAATGATATGAATAACACTAAAATAAAGCTAATTACTTAAGGATTAAAAACTCAATTACAAAAATCAACAGTATTTTGGCAAATATAGATATATTAGATGATGACTGATTTTTTTTTTTTTTTTTTTACTGCAAAATGACAAGGCATTTAAGAAAGAAGAAAAGATTTAAAAGATTTTGTTTTATATGAGAATGGGGAGAATTTACTTTCATTCAACATGCACTGCACATGCACAAGCGAATCTCTGGATTCTCAAAATTACTGGAAAGCTGGGGAAAAACTAGAAACTTGCATTGCCTTTCTAAAAGACAATCTGATTGGCGCTGCGAAAATTGGCTCTACGTCAGCTGTTGAAATGATGCTCACGTGATAACTGATTCGCCAAGAAAGTGATTGATTCTGACGTTGGTGCGAAAATCGCTTTTTTGGGGATCCCAGTATGAAATTCCCTGACTTTTCGAGATTTTGACTTAAATATTTAAATTCTTTGACCTTTTTGGTGAATTTTTAAATTCCCTGACTTTTTCCGGTTTTCCAGGTAGCGAGGCAACCCTGTTATAACACAAGCCAGAAGAGAGAAAAATGGCTTTGAAGAGTCTAAAAATTATGATTTTCAGCAGACAAAATATTATTCATGAATTTGCAACTGTTCAATTTGCAGTTGTACCTCTTGTATCCAAGTTCAACTGCACATGAATGTTATTTTACATTTATTTATGATTCATTAATTTCTACATCTGAAGGGCTTGCAAGAAGGAGCCAGCTCCAGATTTTTTAATTTTTGGAAAACTTTTTAAAAATTCATTTTTTAACTTATACAATTTAAAGCAGCTTATTCAAAAATGTATTTCATAAAAATGTTTATACATACATTTATGTAAAAGCCTGAGAGTAGGAAAATATGGTCCTTCTCGTTGTCGAAAGAACAGCAGTTCTCCATTCGCTCCAACAATAATTTCTATATGATCATGGCTATATTTAAGATAAAAAAGGTATGCATATACAATTCTCTTTGTCTTATAGGAAAACAGCAACAAATTAAGTCATATATCAATGTATTAATACAGATTTATTTTTAGAGCTTTTAATAAATGCTGGATTCAACTAATATAAATTGCAAAACCATATGTAAGAGAAAGAATATGTTAAAATATTTTGATTAATTTTATTAAAAAAAACAACCATTAATATTATACATTTCATTTAAAATTTTTCAAACATAAAAATATGTAAACATGTTAAATTTTGTTTCATATAATTTTATAATAAATAATATTTTCATGCTTTTTCACATGATTTTTCACACATAATAACAAAGATATATACACTCAAAAAATAAGCAAGAAAGGCTAAACATAGAATAAAACAAAAATAAACCCAAGAGGTTAGTGTGGCATTAACACAATGCAAACAATGAAGCAAAGACATGCAAAAACTTGTGTTTTACAACCATCACATTGCAAAACACCAAATGCATCAAAAGAGCATGCAATGAAAACGTCACGCTAATAATGGGTATGATATTCTCTAGCTGAAATGCATGCTTGACAATGTTGAAGCATGCTGCCAAAATAGTGTTGTTGACCTCTGGCTATCTCAGTAGTGCACATTCTTGTAGTAAAGCATGTTGGAGTTTGTAGAAGGTACCTGGTGGCACGTTGCAACCTGCTATTCGGATATAAATTTAGTCCTTATTTTATTAAAAACACTAAAAATCCTCTCACTCATGGGAAATTGTCAGGATGGCCAACATTATTCTAGACTGTAAAATTCCATCAGCGCCTTTCTATTTTCCAAATAAACTCCACTGGGTGTCAATCCTTGCTGGTTTTATTTCTTCATCCAAGTTTTTTAATTGTATACTGCAAAATTGTGACTGCAATTTATCAGTTGCAACATCAATACCATGGTCTTTCAAAATTAAACTAAGTAAAACAGAACATCTATTAAAAATTATCTTATACCAGAAAAAGATGCACGTGCAAAAAAACAGCTGCACCGTTAACATGTAAAATCACTTCATCCTTGATTGGAAATTTATATAGTATGCAATTACATATTCGGCAGAAATAACTTCTAAAGTGGAAACAAAACTTATTTTTGTCTCCTTCTGAAAGCTCTCCCATTACTTTGTTAGTTGAAGCAGTATCACCAATCTTTACCTCTCTTATGATTTTTTTATTATAAATTACATGATATACAGTTAGAAGGCAAGACAAAGATTGTTTTACAAACTTTGATAAAATGTCTTTAAACAGATCATTAATCATTGATTGCAAAACACAAATTAATGCAATTCTACACAACTGAATTGTGTCCCTGTAGTGATTCATCCCCATAGTGATGGTTTCAGTCTTACTAATTTATAACATTCCTCGGTACTTTGTCTGTGTTAAATGTAGAAGAACCTAGTGAACTAAGTAGCGACTTATTGCTGGGTTCAAAGTATTTAAGACAGAGTTTAAAGAAGGGTTAAAATATCCTTTTATTCAGTCAAAAAAATAATTACAGATAGCTGCTTCTGTGCCTTACATGAAAGCCTCCACTTGGGCTTTTAAGTCAGGATAAAATAAGAAACTAACCTAATACTAAACAGAGCCGAAGCAGACATTACCAATGTAACTAAGGGCCAACTACCTAACATAGTTAGCCCTTAATTTAACCTAGCCGGCGATTATCAACCGGCATGTACAATATGGCCGAGCACAGTAGATTTAAGAACGAAGTAGCCAGATGGCAAAACACTTATTAAGGATTCCTCATTTGCATAAAACGCCATAGTGAAACTCGTTCTGGTAAGGAAAAGTAATGGGAAACGAGAATAGACAAAAAAGCATGTTTAAACTGAAAAACTTTAAACTTAGTAACCTTTCTAATTAATTTGCTTAAAGCTTTTGGTGCATGGCCTTTGATTGGACGAGCATGCTAAGTTTCAAGAAAAAGGATATCTAATTTCTTGATGAATCTGACTTTGATAAAAGGAAAAATTGAAAAACGTGCAATTCTGTCCCTGTGTGATGACAGTCTTAAGAAATGACCTAGCTAAGTAGCGACTTATTGCGGGTTCAAGTATTTAAGACCGAGTTTAAAGAAGGGTTAAATATCCTTTTATTCAGTCAAAAAAATAATGACCGATAGCTGTACGAAGCCTCCACTTGGGCTTTATCAGGATAAAAAGAAACTAACCTAATACTAAACAGAGCCGAAGCAGACATACCAAGTAATAAGGGCCAACTACCCTAACTAGTTAGCCTTACCTAGCCGGCGACAAAAACTGAAAAACAGTGAAAATAATGACAAAGACAATGACAGCTGCGATGATGCCGACAATTTGCATGCTGTAGCAGATGGCAGAGATATGAGGCCTACAAAGTAGCAGCGGGTAACAATAACAGTAGCGACAGATTCAAGACACAAGGAAGTAGAAATAAAGAACCTGTAACAGATATTGTAATATTACTATGCATTTTTATTGCCATGTAACGCTTCTTTCAAACAATTTATTTATTAATATATTGTGATAGTTACTGGTAGTTTATCCATGTATACTTTTCATTTGTTGTATTCTTACTGCAACTGCGGCCTTCACAAATTAAATTAAATTATTCACATAACAATTTTGTAGATAAAATTAGTGAAAAAGGAGAGAAATATACAAGTAATCACCATAAACCATACTTAAAAAAAAAAAAAAAAAAAAAAAAACTGAGAGAGAGAGAGAAGACAGAAAACTTTTTTAAATCACCACTTAAATTTTTTTTAAAAGGAATTTCAAAGCTGCCAAATTTTAAATATGCGAGTCAGACTTTTCTGTTTTAAGATGGGATACCTAGAAGTTTTTTCTTTCTTTATATATATGTAAGTTAAAAAATATGAAAGCAAACTTCTAAACTTAATTCACTATACCCTCTATTATTTTCTATTTCATTTGGGAATTTCCTCTATCTGTCCTAAAAATAGCGCTTAAGTCTAAACTGCGTCATTCAAATTAATCATGCGATCTTACTTAACCCATAATGCAGATGCCTCTCGACAAATCACCGAATTGCAAACCAAAACTTTTCTCTTCGCGTGCTTCCATTCTTCATAACTACGTTTTTCAGCTTTTGCACTCTAGTGTGCTAAGATGTAATTTCGCTGGCTTGCTTTCTATCTTAACAATATCAAAATTGTAAATCTTCTGTGGAAAGGCACGACTAGAGTGCCAAGTGATTGTGGCCACAAATATCAGGTGCAAATAAAAATGGAATTAAAACTGCCTCGACTGCCAAGTTCTTTAGATATTACCAAGTTAGCATTACTAGCATACTACGCAATCAAAAATCTTCTTCAATATGGGTCTAATCACGCATCGACTGTGTTCCGTCTTTTCCTTTGCTTTTATTATCACAATTAGCCGGTAGGATTGTTTCCTGCAGCCTGAAACCTCAATGGAAAATTTAGTTCAGCTCTTCAAATCATCGTTTTGTGATAAATCCAAGATAATGTGAAAGAAGTGAATCATCAAGTTTGTTTTTTTAGTGTTTAAAAAATAACAGATCATTCTTCTGCTGTGGTGTTTTGCAAGTGCTTCAAAAAAATAATCATGCGTAGTGTTTACAGATTGAAAGTAATCTCTTGATAAATTGAGAAGTTCGAATGCCTAGTGAAAAGGAAATCATCGGTGAATTACCGTTTAGGAATTAAGCATTACAGCGGGTTCAAGGTCGATCTGAGTTAGCGTTTGCAAGTATGTGCGACAGAAAATTATTTGCACTTCCGCTTTTTTCAACAGCTCAAAACTATTACATTCGTGTGAATCTAGCTCAGGAACTAATTATTTAATATGCTGCGGATTCTATAGTTTTCATTTCAACTTTGGTTAAAATTTCTGCAATTTGTTTTGAGAAAATCTGAAATTCTTGTTCATTAATTTTTCATAATTATGTGTGAGCAAATTAAGTAACGAATTTTAAGAAGCTATTTAAATTATTCATAGGGAAGGATATTAAGATAAGTTATGTTTTTGAAAATTTGTTGAGAATTTTGAATACGAATTTTATAATTATTCTAAAAATAAAGTAGGTGTAAAAAAATAAGTCAAATTATTACAGATACATAATATGAAATATGGTAAATGCATGTTAAATTTATGGGTTGATTGTATGTTAAGTATAGTGTATGTCGAGGGAGTACTGGGTTCCTAAGCAGAGGCCTGTAATTACCTCTGTAAAGTTGTTCCTTTTACCCTCTTCATGTAAGATAATGTTGGAGGTTCTCATTTTATGAGTGTGTGTAATTTTTTTATACTATTATATTATATTTTTTTATTATGGAATGTATTAGTGCAGTTCTCAAAGGCCAGTTACCTTATGCAAGGAACGGAGGCCTTTTCAAGTAACTGCCTAGGCACCCTGGGCCACCAGTGAAGAGAACACACTGGTTAGCTCAAGAGGACAGCCCTATTGATGGATATGTTTGTTTAGAAGTATTGCGAGGCTTCCAGTTTGGTAAAATCAGGAATTGTAAATGAAAGATGATAAGGGTGAAACCATAAATTCTGAAAATCTTAATCCTATTATTTATGGTATTAAAATATAATTTATCAATATGAAAATTAATATAATAAATTTATGGCCTTTAATTATAAGTAAGATTATGTAAAAGATTATTTGTGATATTCTGTGATAGCAAGAACCTTCCCTGAAAAATTATGATTATGTGAACTCTCAAACGAAAAGACTTTTGGGCTTGAAATGCTGAAAAATTCAATGACTCTAAAATTAAAAATTTATTCAAAAAAATTGACATTTAAAATTATACTTTACGTTACAAAAATTTTGTGATTTATGCTTTTTTTTTTTTTTTTTTTTTTACATTTGCTAGTGCTTTAACTCTTTCTCTTTAAAAAGGCTTCTCTGTCGCTACGCCCTTTTCTTTTTGAAAGGGGGGAATGTGTAAGATAAAAAATATGAAAGCAAACTTCTAAACTTAATTCACTATAACCTCTATTATTTTCTATTTCATTTGGGAACTT